AAAACTTCCTTTTAACAGGCAGAAACCTCGAGCAGAACCATGGCTCAATAATAATAATAATAATAATAATAATAATAATAATAATAATAATAATAATAATAATCTACACACACCCAGGACTGTGCACCTTTCCTCCTAGTGTTTATCTTGTATATATTTTTTGCTGACAGATATTCTGATATCTCTGCCCTGTTTGCGCGGTCTTTAATCTGGTTGTACGTGTGTGTAACGACAACAAAAGGCCCTCTGATCCCCTGGTGCTCTGATTCTGAGGGATGCCTGCTAAAGGATGCTGTGAAAGTGGGCCTGGCTCTGAGGATAGCGGCGGTCAGCGGGAGCAGATGGACGGGGCTCAGATGCGTTGCCTGTGGGAGTCATGTGACCTCCGTCAGAAAACACCCCGCACAGCTCACTGCAGCTCTGTTTACCCCCCCCACCACCACCACAGATCGGAGCACCAAAAGCTACCCAAACGCACACATTTTGGTATCAAATGTCCTTTAAAAATGATTCTGAGCTTTGATTTGTGGCTGTTATTCAACCATCTCAAATCCAATATAATTCATATTATAATAAATAATAAAGGGATGCAGACATAAATCTGTCTGAGGGTTATTTCTGCATCTGGGTTTAAATTGACGTTATAAAACATTTATAATGCTGGTTGAATAACAAAAAACAGCCTCAGATTGTTCAGTTTTCTACCAGAAAGGACTGAATGTCAGACCTGAACGAGCTTCTGCCTCCAGGAGCAAAACGAAACCCAGCCGATGTGTTGAAAACCGTAACTCCTTATGCAAAAAAAACAATAAAAAATAACAGATTCTGCTTCTGGGAGAAATCAGAATCTGTAAATTTGAGGTTTATGTGCTTAAATCCCAATAGCTAAATCCAACCGGGGTCCAAATAAACACATTTCTGCATTAAATCTAAACACAGATCCACGTTCCCTTTGGTTTTGTTGGTTTTGTTGGTTTGTAACACAGCTATTGTGCGCGTTGTGATGTGGAGAATTGCCGAGGAGGTGAAGGAGGCTGATAGTTTGAGCTCTAAAGGTCCGGCTCACACCTCGCCAACGCCGGCTGAATTATGAGCTTTTTCTACAGCCTCCACTTCCTCAGCACAAAGAGAGAGCACAGATCTGATGGTTTTATAGAGAGGAGTGAGTCCACGGAGCATAAAAACCAACTCAGGGCATAACCCCCCCCCCCAAGCCTGATGGGAAAAGGCATCCATCCTCTGGGCCGGAGCTTCTGAAATAGCTCTAAAAGGCCACAGACAACAGCCCAGAAGGGTGTTAATCCCTATCCCACAGCCAAAATCTAACAGGAGTCTGGACAGTCTGCAAACGTCTTTAAAAACAGCCTTCTCCGTCATGGCCTCATTTATAATTTCTAATCTAATTTCGTTTGTACATTGATTTTATGTCAACGTTTCTCGTTTCGTCTGCAGTTTTAATGTGTTTTTAATGTGCCGATGGACAATGAAGTGTATTAGTATTGTTTATATTTCAGTCATTACAATAAGATAATCCAAAGAAAAAGACAAAAAGAAGGAAGTGGGTGAGGAAAGAGTAAGTATAAGAGTTATTTGAGTCCAAAGAGTCACAGTTTTTTCCACCAAATTTCATGGTAAGCATCGACGTTTAGCTGCAAACGAATGATTCAGGTAGAGAGACGCTTTCGCCTGTGACCATAATCCATTTTTTTAACCACAAACTCACCCCATGTTCAACCCAGTCCATCAAACTTCCTCACTGTCATAATACCCACCTCTGGAAGGCAGTGTTTCACTGATAAAAAAATTATAATTTGATCACATACATACATTATTTTATAAGGTATTTTACCCCGAATGTACCAGAACTAAAGTGCCTTCTATGAGGGCTTTACAGGTTTGTTGCACCTGTTCCACACTTTGAGCCGAATGACATTTATTACTAAATGGGGACATTTATGAATGGAGTTTGGTGCCAAGCTCTGTGCGCGAGACGGATGGGGTAAAAAGGGTATAAATAAAAGGTCCAAATTCTGCTCTGAGATAATACTAGAGCAGGCCTAGTTGTTGGGTGAAATAAAAACTCCCTACCTTGGTTAGCTGTGCAATTTTCTTGCTCATCTTCAGGTGCAGGTCTTGGGTATATTCCATGGCGATGCCGGACTGAAAGGATCCGCTGGAAGCCGCGGATGAGGTAAATTTCCCCTGACCGGCGGGGCAGTAGTACTGCTGCCAACCGGACCCGGTCGCCATCTTCACGACGATGCCTCAGAAAAAAGCCACAAAAAAAAAGAGGGACGTTGGAGGAAGAGGGAGCGGACCGGGACGGGGGTCCGGTTCACCGGGACGGAGTCCGGTTCACCGAGACGGAGCGGGACTCGATCACAAACACGGAGCCGTTTGAGCCCGTTTGTTCATTTTTGTCCTGCTTCCCCAAACGCGAACCAACGGTTATTTTTGGAACG